AGGCGGGCGCGGGCCCCGGGGCTCCCAGGGCCGCCAGCGCGGGGGCCTCGGCCGGCGCCTCGGGCAGCGACTCCTCCGAGTCGGTGCGCAGGTCCTCGTCGTCCTCGTCGTCGTCGTCCTCCTCCTCGTCCTCCTCGTCCTCGTCCTCGTCCTCGTCCTCCTCCTGCATCTCCAGCTCCTCCTCCTCGTCCTCCGGCGAGGACTCCCCCGCGGCCTGCAGGCTGGCGCTGGCCGAGCCAGGCACCGGGCTTCCCTCCGGGGGGCCGAGGGCGGCAGCCTTTGCATCAGGCGGGCCGGGGTCGCCGGCGTCGCCCAGCGCGAGGCCCAGGCCCGCGGCTGCCGACTGCAGGAAGAGCAGTGAGGCCCCGGGCTCGGCACCGAGCGCAAGCGCCCCATCCAGGCCCCCGGGCGAGGGCGAGGGCGAGGGCGAGGCGGCAGGCGGGTCCCCGCGCTCCTGCTTCTCATGCTTGCGCTTGTGCGAGTCCATCTGCGACATGCCCACCACCGTGTGGCGGCAGCCGGGGTAGGTGCAGTGGAAGTGCGAGCACTTGAGCTTGTACTTGCAGTCGGGCACGGCGCAGTCTGCGCTCGAGCTGAACTGGCAGAAGCCCGCGGCGCTGATCACGTCCTGCTTGCCGTGGTGCTTGCGGTGCGCCGTGACCTTGGTGCTGTCGGTGCAGCGGAAGCGGCAGCGCAGACAGTGGAAGTGCGTGCTGGTGCCCGAGAACGGGCAGTCGGCGAAGTGGCAGCTGAGCGAGGCCTTGAAGCGCTTGAAGTCGTCCAGCACCAGGTTGTCCACGCGGTCGTGGTGCTGCGCGTGCTTGTACATGTGCGTGCGGCCGCAGAACTTGTAGCCACAGTTCTCGCGGGTGCAGTGGTAGTGAGTGACCTTGAGCGAGAACTGGCAGGCCGCGTCCTTGCAGTCTTCGTAGAGGTCAAAGCGTCGAAAGCCCTCCAGCATCATGCCCTCGTCCAGCATCTTGCGTGAGGACGCTGTCTTCCGGCGCTTGCCAAAGGGCGACATATCCTCGATGATCCAGAAGCGCTTCTTGGCCCCTGAGGCGGTGGGCATGGAGATGGTGTTCCCTGGGGAGGGCCGGGAGGTAAGTTCAGAAGGGATGCCCTTGGCACCTTGCCCAGGATCACACTATGCAGGCCCGATCCCATGTGGTGACCAAGGGAGTCTTGGGCTATCCCTGCCCTCAGGTGGCTGGGCGCCTGGTGCCCTTGACATGGTCTACAGGTAAGCCATGCTGTTTCCTGGCCTGTAGGTTTTGGGGGGCTGGGACAGCCCAGTGCTAGTGCAAGTTGAAGGGTTCTAGAGGACAGTGCAATACCCGTGTTGGACTGGGGCCAGAACGCCCTTGCACGCCCGCCTGTATCAGGGACAGGCAGCCGCCCACCGGTCTGCACAAGGGACCTTCCTGCTCGCCATGGGACTGCCAGTCCCCCAAGCCAGCAGGCTGCAGTGACTCTCATACCAGAATGTTTTGTTGTTTGTGGTACAGGGATTTGAACCCAGGGCCTTTATACTGAGCTAGATCCCCAGCCATTTTATTCTTTTAACTTTTATTTTCACTAGTACTCATTTGCAGTATGTAACAATTACAGTCATCCCTTCTGAGGCAGGGTCTCACCAAGTCACTAAGGAGGCCAGTCTACGCCTTAACTTTTACATTTTTCCTGCCTCAGCCTCCCAGAGTGCTGGAATTACAGGCTTTACCTGCCCAGTGGAATTACCTGCCCAATGACAGATGGGCAGCTGGGCAGCCAACCGGCCTGTCCCTGATACAGGCAGGTGTGCAATGGCGTTCTGGCCCCAGTCCAACATGGGTAATCACACTGTCCTCTAGAGCCCTTCAACTTGCAACCACACTTGTTACATCAGGAGGCTCCTCAAGGTCCTCCTGTCAGCGTTTCTTGCCCTGGGCTGGCCTGAGGGACCAGGCCTCAGGAGCTCATCACGAGAAAGCGCTCCTGCCTTCCCTGCCCAGAGTCTCCCCCAACCCGGGGCGAGGAGCACAGAAAGGGCTCGGTGGGGGGGCACCCATCAGTGCCCACCCTGGCCCCAGATTGCTTCCGAGACCCAGGGCACTGTGGCTAAGGACTCTGTTACCCGCTTCTGGGTGACACCTGATGCTGCAGCCTCCTGCTGGCTGCCGGGGAGAGGAAGCGGGCCCTGGCACTGCCCAGAAATGCCAGAAACCCCAGGCCCCGCCTCACCCAGGGTGGGGCTGGCATGACCCTCCCAGGCCTGCCTAGAACACTCAACTATCACCCTGCCCATCTGTGGGATAGGCCCAATCACCTGTCCATGACGGAGAGAAATCAGGGACAAGGATGGGTTGGGGGCGCGGAAAGGCTCAGGCCGAAACCCACAGGGAACTGACAGGGGCTCCTGTATTCTCAGGCACAGGCCACAGCTTTCAATGTGTCACGCTCACTGCCATCCCCTGGGACCCTCAAAGTTTGTGCCAGGGCAAACATCAGGCGGAAGGGAGTGGACAGAGAGGCAGGCTGGGTGACATCTCCACCCGAGGGCCAGGAGCAGGCTGGACCCCCCAAACCTGGGCAGGTCCCAGGTGAATGCTGAGAGCAGCAGGGACAGGCTGTGTCCTGCCCTGGGCCAGGGAAGATAATACCCACAGTCCACTGAGTAGGAGGGTGGCATGGCCACTCGGGGCCCTGACATTTGCCAAGGAGCAGCAGATCCTGAGGGAATGAGTCAGAGGCCCACAGAGGTGCTCTTGGGACAGCGGCTGAGCAGCTGTTGGCTATTGAGGGGCAGGATACCCCTGTCCTTAGCTGTACTGGCCACAAAGAGGGGCCAGGACCTAGACTATGACCCTGAGGGTTGGGTGGGGGGACAGATACTGTGAGAACGTGTGTGGGAGTTACCTGCGGCATCCTGAACTAGGGGGACGTCACTTTTTACTGGAGTTGGAGTGGCAGTGACGGGCGGGAAGCTGCTGATGGGGTGGGCCAGGCCCCGGCTGGCTCCAAGGCTGGCACCCAGCAGAGAGTATGAGAGACAGGACGGAGAGAAGAGGCATGGGAGGGGAGGAAGGGGTGGCCGCAGCACAGCCGGGGGGAAGGATGGAGCCAGGGGGGGCTGTGGAGCCCCGCGGGCAGCCTCGTCACCAGCGGCAGCAGGAGGAGGAAGAGGAGGAGGAGGAGGAGCCGGGCAGCCTGGAGAGGTGGAGAAAGCAGAAAACAAAACAAAACAAAAAGACCAAAACAAAGAAAAAACAAAAAGAACCAAAATGAGAAACCCAATGGCAGAAGCAAGTATGATGTGAAAATATGCGGACAGATGAGCAGAGAGAGGTGCGACAGAGGGGAGAGAGCACCGGCCAGGCGGTGTGCTGGAGGCCGGGCGGGCAGCCCAGTGTGCCAGGCGGGCCTGCCAGGGGCTGGGCCTGTTGGAGGAGGCCTGGGTTCCTCTCCTGAGGCTGCAGTGGAGGGCGGAGGGCAGTGGATGGCAGGAGGCGGCTAAGCGACCCACAGTGTAGCTGGCCCGCCGCACTGCACCAGCCCGGCCTCCACCCCGGGTGGGTGCGGCAGAGCGGGCTTGGGCCAGGCTGGCTGTGCTCACCTGCTGCAGTGCTCTCGTTGCCCACCGGGGTGCTGGAGCAGCTCCGGTCCATGGTGGATGACTCGGAGGAGGCGGCGCCAGGGCTGCAGCCAGTGTAATCCATGCCCTCGTCTGTCTCGGCATCCAGCAGGCTTGGGGCTCCCTGAAAGGAAGCAGGGGTCCCTAAGGAAGTTGGCCACAGGGTTCTAGCTGGCACCTGGGTGGTATGGCCCTCGGCCTAGAAGTGATGGTGGCATGGGCCACACACCTTGGGAGGGGCTGGGCTCTCACCTGGGACGGGGGCACGCGGTCAAAGTTCTTCCCCAGCATCCTCCGCATGTGCTTCCGGGCGTGGGAGGTCATCTGGTGCTTGAGCAGGAAGGAGAACTGGCAGCCCTCCCGGATGCAGTGGAAGTGGCTGTTCACCTGGTTGTACTTGCAGCCTGTGGACACGACCCCCAGCCCAGCATGAGCCACCCCACCAGGCAATGCTAATGCCCTGGTGAGCACTGGCTCTGTGTGGGCCTGCGGAGGCGAGGCCAGCAGGCAGGCACATCCCTGCAAGGAGGCCCTCAGCCGCCGCCTTCTCCCAGAGAAGCAACGCTGCCCAACCCCAGGGCTGGCACAGGAGATTGTGGCAGGCGGGCGTGTCCCTGCCTCATCGCCCAGGAGGTCCACGCTCCAGGGCAGGAGAACTTCAGGGATGCAGCCACAAGGTCAGTCGCCGCCCAGCAAGCCACCTGTCCCCACACCTCTGAGGACCTGGGGTGGTGCCTGTGCCCCCACCATTGGCTGCTGTAGCAGCTGGCCTCCACCCTGCCCCCACCCACCTCTGCCATGCCTGGGCCTGAGAACAAACAGAGCAGGCGGGACTGAAACAGCATCAGCTAAGGGCAGGTGAAGGCCTGCCCGTTGCCATGGCACTGGGCTGGCCAGGTGTCTTATATCATCCCCCAGCTTTGTTTGGCCCCAGCTACCACCCAAAACACCCAAAGTTGAGTAAATAATGGCAACTACAAAATACCCTGACATCTGTAAACTGAGACCCAGAATGGCATAGGCCACCGAGTGTTGACACCTGTTGCCACGGTTACTGGCTCTCTCCAGGCCATGGATCCTTCCTGAATTAATACTTGAAGGAAAGGTTTGTTTCCTTTCTTTTCTGGCAGTTGACTTGGGCTATTTCGCCTTTCACTTCTGGAGGGGCCAACCCCCCCAAGATCCTGTTGCCATGACCACAGGGCACAATAGGCCTGACCAGCAGCCGGGGGCCTCTGCCTATCTGCCCCACCTGCCCTCCAGCTTCTAGTCTATTCCTGGGAGATTCCTGGCACACGCTGCAGGCTTATAACTGTGGCGCCGTCCTGAGGGAGGGGGGTGGGCTGTGCCCTTTCCCCAGGGCACCCAGCAGCTCGGACCAGCAAGTTCAGCAGCAGCAGGGTAGACACCGAGGCATCTGCTGCCAAGCTCAGGGCTGAAGGTGGCCTCTTTCTCACAGACCTGTGGCCACCTCCTTCATGGGTCTCCTGCCCCCAACAGGTGCTCTAGCTGTGCCCACAAGGTACTTGGCTGTCCTCACTAAGTTCCTAGCACCAAGCTCAAGGCCAGAACACCCCAGACAACTAAGCTTAGCTGCCACCTGCACTGTCACCACCCTCCCCAAATGGCACTAACACACAACCATTCCTCAGTAATTGTTGAATGAATGAATGAACTGTGACTCATTCTGGACAAAAACCACGTATTTAAAGCTATGGAAAGTATCCAGGACAAGGAACCACTTATCTGCATGCCCTCTTGGAAAGCAAAGGAAAAGGAACTAAACCGAGCCCCTGGATGCCAGCAGTGAGGCCCCAGGACATTTGTCCTGGCTAGGGAGGAATTCTTAGAGCCACCCTGTTCTTTTTCCAGAGGTGTTTGGACTTAAACACTTCGTGAGTCTGTGGCCTTGGACTTAGCGAGGGGAACCTGGTGAGCACATCTTCAACAAACATGGTGTGAGAGAGGGGAAGACACAAGTGCCAGGAGAGGCACCCTTGGTCACCAAGGCCTCATGAGCCAAAGCCACAGTTCTGCCACCTGCAAGAATCCCTGTCCCAGCCCTGGTCATAAGTACCTAGCCTGCCACACTCCTCGCGCTTGGTGAAGTATTTGAATCCATTGGCTGCCCGCCGCTCAGCCTTCTCATGCTTCTTTACGTGCCATGGCAGCTTGGTGGTGATGTTGGTCACGAAGTAGCAGCCAGTCCGGAGGCAGTGGTAGTGTCCGCGCATCCGGAACTCACAGTGCTGCAGGGAAACACAGGAGGTTCAGGACAGGCAGTGACTTCCTGAGCTTCTGCTGGCCCAGGTCTCTTGGCTGTGCAGGCCATTTGTACTATGTCCTTCCACATTCAGAATCAAAGACCCAATTGTGTAAAGATCTTTCACATGTTAAAAAAAAAGCAGTATATCCCCAGTATGTCATTTCATTAAAACATCCTACCTGATAACTTTTTTTTTTTTTTTTTTTTTTTTTTTTTGCAAAACTGGGGATTGAACTCAGGCCCTTGTGCTTGCCAGGCAAGCACTTATTCTACTGAGCCATTCTCCCCAGCCCCCCTATCTGATAACTTTGTAATCCCTTACTAATGTCACACTCAGAGAAGACATCACTAATCTATTTTTGCTCTCTTTCCAGTATGCCAACCTAGGCAGACATTACCAATCAATCCACCCTAGCACTCTTCCCCATATAGCAAGACCTAGATAGATATCACTAATCCACACTAGCACTCTATGTGCCCAGACCTAAGCAGACATCACTAATCCATCCCGGGAATCTTCTCTACATCTCTAGACCTAGGTAGACATCAGTAATATATCCCTGACAGTCTTTTCTGCATACTCAGACTTTTGCTCCAACTTAGGTTACCTTACCAGTCCTGGGGGTAGGACTTTTAAACTTGTCCTTCCTGTCTAGGCATGTACAATTCTACTCCTTTATCCATGAGCCTATTTTAAAATTTTAGGCCTCTGGAGAAAAGGCCATAACTAATGTCAGGACAGGCAGGAAGGTTGTCATGTGCCCAGTGCCTGCATAGCATTTAGCCACCACTGGGGTTTGGACTGAAGTGCTCGACCTCAACAACTTAGCACCAATCTGGTCCCCTGCCCAGGGCCCACCGGGGAAGCCAATTTATGAAGGGTGTGAAAACTAGACTCTCTGCCAGGTGGAGCCTGTGCTGGGCCCTGCGCCTCTCCTGCCCGCTACCCTCTGCCCGCCACACTGACCTGGTTGGGACAAAGACACTGCAGGGAATAGTAAGCGAACTGGTCTCGCACGTTCACCAGGCTGTTGTTGGGGTTGATGTGGTCCAGGCAGTGGGACTCAGCCTTGCCAGAAGTCTTGCAGACGTACTTGCAGTTCCCGAAGAGACAGTGGAAGTGGAACTTGTTGGCGTACTTGCAATCCGTCGCGAGGCAAGGATCGCTGGAAAGAAACCATAACCCAGAAGGTCATTGATATTTCCAAGCCTTCGCTGCTGGTGTTCTGACTTTGCCTGATTTGAGGTTCACTTTTTAGTCACCAGTAGTGCAATCAAGAGGAATGGCCCTGGCCTAGGTCTCCTGCTCTACAGGCCAATTTAGCTGGAAACTACAGATCCCAGCATGCATTCCTACCTCCTTTTAGGCACTCAGCCTGGTGCACAGGGATTGCGATATGCAGGGTGCCCAGAGCATTGCATGCTGGGACATGTAGTTTCCACGGCCACACCTTGAGATTATAGATAAGGGTGGCTGCAATAACTTCTTGGATATGAAAATAAGGGATGGTGCTGCCAGCCTTGGCAGGGTGCCACAAGGGCCTGGCTGGCATGGCATGGCATGGTACTGCCTTCGATGTGGCTGACTGACAGATTGCAGGTGGGTGGGCAGTCCTACCAGGAAACGCTGCTGCTGTGGGACCTCAGCAAGTAGGAAAGTGTGCCTGGTGTCCAGTCCCGCTGAGGCTCACAGCTGCTGAGGCTCCTGGGGTCTTCCGAGGCCCGTGGCACCCACCCACGAGGAGCACCTAGGAGCTGGGGTGGTAGGGGCTGGCTGCAGTTGCGCGGGGAAAGTGCTCGGCCTGCTTGAGAAGGTGGCTGGGCCAGTGAGCTGCAGAGGGCTGCTGGAGGATGTAGGGCTCCAACCTTCTGTTCTGGTTGTCAACACTGCAGTCTCTAAAGAGCAGACCCATGGAGGAACCTCTACCCAGCCCCAGAAAGCTAAGAGGGCTGCCACTTTAGGGAGGGGAAGCAAAGGGGGCCGGAGAGGCACTCTGGTCCCTTTCCATGCCATGGGCCCAGTTCCAGGTGCTCAGAGAGGGAGAACAGCTGCCACTCAGGCGATATAAATAATCCAATTTATTACTTTTATTGAGAACAGGAAGCCGTACACATTACGATACAAAGTCACCGTTCTCGCCGCAAGGAGCCACCACCATTCAGTAAGGAAGGTCCCTTCCAGGCCCCTGTGTGGGTGGGTGCCAGCCTGAGGGGGCTGAACCCTTGCCCTGTGCCCACGGCTTCCATGCCCTGCAGACTCAGCCTGGGTGTGAGCCCTAGAGGAGCCCAGCAAAGGTGCCTGGAGGGAGATGCAGCCCCGTGCTGGGCTAAGAAAACATTCCAGCCCACCCCAGCCCAGCCTTGTGGGCCCTCCATAATGGAGCAGTGGCCCCTACCGCCATTGCCTGCCCCTCAAGAGCAGGCAGGCAGTGAGGTGAGGGAGGACAGGCAGCAGCATCTTTGGCTAGAAGGACATGGCCTAGGGGCCACGTCCCAGAGGCTGAAACAACCAGTGCTAACTGCAGGGTGAGGAGCAGGGCTCCATGCTGCCCTGGCTACACCCACTCCCGAGACACACAGGGACAGGATGCCCCGCTCATCAAGGGACTCACTTCTCCTGGAACTGGAGGAATCCGGGTTTGACCTGGGGCTTGGCGTTCTCTAGAGAAGTCGTCGCCAAGGGTGAAGCGGGCAGGTGAGGCACTGATGCGGGCATCTGAGGCATCTGGGGTATGGTGGAAGCCAGCTGCTTCCAGGCGAGCAGGGTAGGGGTGGAGGGCACTGAGGCCGAGTTGGGAGTGGGCCCCTCCAAAGAAGCCCCTGGGGCTATGGTGCCAGGGGGTGCCGGGGGGGATGAGGGTGCCAGGGGAGGCTTGGTCTCTGTGGCAGAGGCTGCGAAGGAAGCCTCTGGGTTTCCTTTCACTGCTCCTCCCTCTGTCCGGAAGTGGAAGCTGGAGAGGCAAAGAGGACATCTCAGGTAGGGAGTTGAGAGGACCTGCTGACCAGTCAGACCTTCCCTGGCTGCACATGCCTCTGCAGAGGCACTGCATGTGACCCCATCACAAAGCCCCACGGCCCAGCATCCCTGCCCATCTCTAGCATGGACTTGGGATGTCTCCCATGATCCCGCCAGGAAAGATTTGAGGACAACTGGCATGTCCTCCAGTTCTGCACCTGAGCTCCCCATGGGTCCCTAACCCTAATTTCCTTCTTGTGACCTGAACTTCTACACTTGTGTGCATGTGTGTGTCTGCCCAGGCCTTGCCTGTGATGGCCCTTCTTCCAGAACCCAGCCTGGGGTTCACGGTGGGAACCTCAGTGTTCCACGGGCTCTTGAGCAGACAGCAGCTGGGGTCACTCGTGTGGTGAGAATCCTGAGTGGGGATGGGGAGCAACCTGTTTCACACATTTTCAGGGTCTGAAAGCTAGCTGTTGGACTCGTCACTTCCTCACTCCATAGGATTTACACACTCAGCTCAGTCTTTAGCTCAAAGGGAATCTAAAGATGCCATGTGAGGCTGCAAAGGCCTTGGCCTGTGCTGGGTCTGAGCTGGGCCTCTCCAGTTGAGTGCTGGCCCCTTCTGGCCACTCTGCAAGGGCATCTCTGGCCAGGCTATGGTCCTGTCTGGTCCCAGCACCACAAGAGCTGGCACCCAGGGCCTCAAGTGGGGTCTGGGCATGCGGGGGGAGGAAGGGAAGCTGGCCCTTCTTTGGACAGCTCAGCTTCTGGAGTCTGATGGGAGCACATTTGGTCCTGCTTGGAGGGGCCTCCAGGGCCTTGCTCAGCCCCAAGCCAGGGTGCACGGGGCTCTGTGGAAGGACCCTGGGGAACCCCACTCACTTTGCGTGCTTGATGGCCCCGTCCAGGGTGCTGAAGAGCGCGCCACACTCCTCCACCACACAGTGGAAGTGGGCCTTGTGGAGGAAGTCACACTGGGTATCACAGATGTCCTTGGTACCAAACCTGGTGGGAGTGGCCAGCCAGTTAGAGGATGGCCTCAGAGGCAGGGCTGGCGGGGCCACCAGGGGCCCTGCCCTCCCTGCCACGCTCCATAGGCCCTCACCTGCGAAGGTACACCTTCCAGGGCTCCGATAGCTTCTCCTGAACGAGTGCCTTCACAGCCTTGCCCAGGAAGGGTGAGGGCTCTGTGGCGGGGCTTCCCTCTGCTTCTGCCTTGATGTTCAGCAGGCCGCCGAGACCAGGGTTACCCTGAGACATCTGTGAGGACAGAGGCTGAGCTTGGGGCAGGGGAACCCCTGGACCGACTTGCTCAAGCACGGCTTTGGCTAGAGAAGGGCCCTGTCTGAAGGGCTGTGGCCTGGCTGCGGAGCCGTCATTCAAACCGAGGCCACCACTCGGGCGCACACAGCAGCCTGTCTTCCCCCAGACTTTGTGGCTGGCTCTCTGGTTATTTTCCTGCCAGGAGATTTTCAAAAGTGCAGGAGGAGGAGGGGTGGGGGAACCCCTACGAATTCCTTGAGAACAAGAGAAGCCGCACAAAGGAGGAGCAGGAAGGGGAGGGAGAGAGGGAGGGACCGTGGGGGAGAGCAAGGTGGGCAGGGGTGGGTGGAGAGGCACCCCTGGGAGGAGCGAGGGGCAGGAGGAGCGTCCTAGGACAGCCGAGGAGGAGACGGAGAGGGCAAGCCGCGAGGAAGGCAGGTGGCAGAGCCGGGCCACAAGCGCTCGCGCCCACGCGCCCCGCCAGGCCCCACCGAGGCCCAGCCAGGCCCACTCCCTCTTCAACCCAGTCACTTGTGTATAGTAACCAAATTACTCTTGCTGTAGTCAAATTTATCATGTGAAGGGGAAAAATATATTTGAGATGATGTATAATTTACAAAGACCCTGCATTATTTAAAATAAATATTCCGGAGCGACCTCTCCGGAAAGCGTCCGAGACCATTACTCAACCCGAAAAGTGGAAATTGATGCTTTGCTCCCACTTTTGTCTCTCCCTTCCCCCACCCCTTTTCAAAGAAACAAAAAATAGATAGAAAATAAATAAATAACATTAATAACTAAGGGCGAGAGAAGTTAGAGGGCTCCAGAAAAGCTTTTGGAGCCCTCCATCTGAAGGGAAGAAAAAAAAGGTGTCAGAGCCTGGGATATATTTCTTCAGCCAGTTCATTAAATTAATTTGTAAGCAGTGGCTCTGAAATTATATGCGATGAAAAATGGCCTCAAAATTTAAATGGTACAAACTCATCTTATTAGAAGGAAAACATTAAAAAACAAACACATCCCCCAGCCCCCAGCACGGCTTTAATTTCTCTGGGTGGGGGAATGGGAGGCGTGTGATGGATGGTTCTTACCTTATTCATAAGCGAGGATAAAAGAGATGAATTTGCCGAGACTGCGTGGCCATTTGATTCATTACTAGAACACACAAACCAAGGGGCTTCAGCTCAGATGTTGGGGTACTGAGTCCAGCAGCCCACCCTTCCCGGCTAGACCAGGGTTCCAGCGCTGCCCGCTGCCGCTGCTGAAGGGAGGCCGAGTCCTGCCAGCCCGGCTCTGGGTACAGCCCTGGGGTGCTACCCCGGTGCCTCCCCTCTGGCCCAGGCTGGGCTCGCCTCACCTGGGCTCCTTCACAGTCAGGTCAAGACTGCGGTCGTGGGCAGCCTCGTGTGGGCCCGGGGTACCAGTGCTGTCGCCGCTGCAGGGCTCCTGCTTCACCTGGGCCGGGGGGAACCTGGCGGGGGTGGCCTGCTGCCCACTTCCTGCAGGGAAGGCGGGGAGAGGAGGATGGGCTCAGAGGGGCTGCGGCTGCACAGACACCAGCTCCCCGAGAGAGGGACATGGCCAGGTGGGCCCAGGGCCCAGGGCCCAGGGAGGCCTAGCTGCTGGTCAGCGATTCTCCCCACTGATGCGATCACTTGCGACGCTTACCCCTGTGTGGCAATTCTTCAAGTGATAATTATTGCAAAATTATGTCAAAGTTGTCCTGGCTCAGGGCCTCCTCGAGGAGAAGGGCGGGAGGCTAGGGGGGTTGGGGAGGGGGCGGGGGCCCTTCATTTTCTCCACCAACTGTCACAGTCGATTTGTGGGGCTGCCGCTTAAGCTTTTATTAAAGACTCTGTTAATGCTGAGGGAAAGTGGCAGATCTGGACTGGGAGCGGCCCCTCCTTGGTCCCTGGCCTGCTGTTGCCGGGGCGACAGCCTGCCTGCACTGAGCATGCCCGGGGAGGGCATCTGCTATGTCAGGGATATGGGGGCCGACGGCCAATCAGGGCAGTTCAAACTGTGTGACCTCGCCCGTCAAGCTGTCCAGGGCAGGGGCTCGAGGCCCACCCCAGTGGCCAGGCTGAGTCTGTCCAGGGGGGAGTGAGGCGGGAAGAGGCTGCAAGAGGCCGGGTGGAGCAGGGGCAAAAGAAGTTGCTGACAGGAGCGTGTCCACGAGCCTTGCTCCACAATCCCCAAGTGACTGAAATATTAATTTGCCCCAAGGCACTACAGCTGACAGCGAGCTGCTTCACAGACAGCAAGTGGCATTTTATTAAAAAATAAAAGAAACGGTCCCCCCCCCTTTGACCTTTGTTTTGGGTGAGGGAGATCTGTCTAAGGAAAAGAAGTACTTGACAGTCTGGCCACCATGCTCAGTGTGGCCCCAAAGGAGGTCCAGGGCCTCAGTGTGGGCTGTGGCCAGGGAAGGACCCGTCCGACTTCTGGAGTGGACGCTGGGGCCTCCAAACTGCCACCTGGGAGGATTCGAGTGGCCTCTGGAGTCCACACTCCAGCAGGTCCTAAAGTCATCAGTCCCTTGTCCCCAGGAAAGCAGGCCCAGCATAGGCACCCTGGAGATTCAGAGACCCTCCGTCCTGACTGCTTCCAGCACAGTCTCAAAGGGGAGTGAGTATCCAGCCAGAGTGCTGAGGCCTCAGGGTGGGCTTCACTGTGTGTAGCTGTGTGCCCGGGACAGAGGGTCCTCACTGCTCCAGTGGCTCCACAGGGCAAGGCTTCTGTTCATCCTCTTGTCTATGTGTCCCTGGCACAGCTCAGTGTAGGCCCTCAGAGGCACCCAGCAAGCAGCCCTTAGCAATCACCAGTGGTTGTTGAATGAATGAATGAATGAAATGAGCCACATCCCAAGCTGAACTCTTCACAAAGATCAACAGTGCTTATTAGCCAGATGGGGAAGCCAAGGGACAGAGGAGCGAGGAAACAGAAGAGCAAAATCAGACGAACAAAAAGCAGGTGAAAAGTAGGAAGAGAGAGAGTGAGAGAGAGAGAGAGCGAGCGAGTGAGAGAGAGAGAGAATATGAATGGTAGGAGAGCTGTCCCACAGTGAGCCAGTGTGAGCCCAGAAGGTGCGCCTGGGCACCCAGCCTGGCACAGTGTGCCTATTGGGAGTTCAGAGAACCACAGTCACCACTCCTTCTTCATCACTCTAGCCAGTTTTAAAACAGGCACAGCTGGTGGCTGCCAAGGCTGACAGTGCAGAGCAGAAAGTTCTTAGGCCCAAAAAGTTCTACTGGGGTGGGGGAAGGCTTGAGGGGCTCTGCCTAGAGCGGCTGCCTGGCTGGGGTGAGCCGCTACTCTGCCACTAGGCTAGACTCAGCGCACTCAGCTGGAGGAGACTGGGAGCAAGGGAAACGCAGCTCTTCTTGGGGACTCATCAGAGATGCAGAGGAGCCACCGGCATCCCTGGAGGTGGGGACTCACCCTGCTTCAGTAGAAACAAAGGCAAGAACATCTTGTGGGATTTTGGCCAGAGTAAGGTGTGCCAAAGAAGAAATAAAAAGGACAGAGGCAGAGATCAGGCAAAGAACGGGAGCTGGCTGTTGGGAGACTGGGGTGCTGGGACCTGACAGACAACTGTTCTCACACTCCCCTGCTCTGCAGCCTGAGCCCAGGCAGTTACTGGGGTCTACAGGGCGCCCGCTTCCTGGGCAGCATCCAGCCTGCTCACCTGGGTCAAAGGTGGCAGAGGGCTTGAGGGCGGCCGCAGCCAGTCTGGCCATCATAGGTGAGATGAGGCCTTTGCTCGCAGAGATCCTTTCCATGATGGAGGCAGGGGCCACTGGGACAGAGCTGGCAGCTGCTGGGGCTGAGTCCCCAGCTCCTGAGGCCACCAGAGCAGGCATGTCAGCAGCTGCCGAAGCTGCTGCCCCAGAAGACATGGCACCCAAGAGGCCAGGGGCACCCACAGGCAGGGAAGCACTTCCCCTGCCAGGAAGGAGGGGGAAATAGGGTGCAGTGGTGGGCAGGCCGGAGTTGGAGAGGGCCAGTGCCAGTGGGATGGAGCCAGGCAGGCCCTGGGGCAAAAGCCCCGAGACCTTGCTGTTGGGGGGCTTGGCGGCGCTGGGCACAGCCTCGGTGGTGGTGGTAGTGGCAGTGGCAGCGGCGGCCAGGGAGGCAGAGGACTGCTGGCTGGTGGGGGAGGCGCTCAGGCTGGAGTTCTTGCTGCTCAAGGCAGAGAAGTCAACCAGGTCATCGTTGCTCGACTCCTCATGCTCCGTGTCCTTGGCTCCCAGCAGGGAGGGCGGCAGCCCCAGCACGCCCGAGGAGCGGATGTGGCGGCGCTCATGCTTGCGCTTGTGGGAGGTCATCTGGCTGGTGGAGGTGAAGGTGAAGCCGCAGCCGGCGCGGATGCAGTGGAAGTGGTTGGTGGCCTTGCTGTACACGCAGCCCTCGTACTTGCACTCCTCGTACTTGTAGAACTTCTTGAAGCCGTCCTTGGCGTAAGCATCGTCCTTGATGTGGTAGCTCTTGTGCTTCTCGATGTCACACTTGTTCTTGAAGGTGAATGTGCAGCCAGGGCGCCTGGATGGGACATTGGAAGCCTGTCATGGGACCTCATCCCTCAGGCCCTGGGAGGGAATGTCCGGTGCATGGAAGACCCCAGATGGACACTAAGTCGGGGCCCCTGAGCAGCCCAACTCCTGCCCCTCTGCCCTGGAGGAGTGGGGCTGGGCCATCCTGTAGGCCCAGTTCCATGCCTCCACCCTCCTCCAGTGGAGCCCTGTGCTGCCCGCTCACCTGCAGTGGAAGTGTGTGGTTTTCTGTCCATAAAATTGGCAGTCTGCCGTGCCACAGTCCTCTGTGGCTCGAAAGCGCTGGAAACCATCATTGATGAGCTGCGTATTCTTCTTGTGGAAGTTCTCATGCGTCATCACGTCGGACGTACTTGTGTACACCTTGTTACAGCCCACCTGTGCAGGTCAGATGGTGCTTAGGGGCGCTGAGTCTCAGCACTGCTGGCTGAAGCCAGAGCTCTGGGAGTGGCTGGACACAGGGTCTCTACTCAAGGCTCTGCCACCTCTAACACTCTGTCACCTGCAGCCTCCTGAGCCCTGAGGCAGAACACCTCCAACAACCCTCAGGCTACCGAGCGAAGGACCAGGGCCTGCCTAAACTGAGGGCTCAGCTGTTCTCAGACCCCAAATTCTGGGCCCAGCGAAGGAGCCCCACTTGGCAGGGGTTGAGCTTTGCATCCCAGTCTGTAGTCCTACCACTAAACCCTTGGGAGGTGGGCAGGGGCTGAACTCTGGAGGTCACCTTTAGCCCAGGGACTTGCTCAATGGTTGATTCTTGGGCACAGGGCCCTCCCACTCACTGCAGCTGGGCCAGGCAGGCAACGTTGCCATATTGAGTAAAAAGCAGTGGCTTCTAGCACCCTTGACGGCTGGGCCGTGCCAGTGTCTGCACCATCTCAGGCCCAAAGGGTGGCCCCCCTCTCCTCATGCCCAGGTTGCTCCACAGAGGCCATAACAACCCGACAAATATGAGGGAGGTGCGGAGGCTGCTATTTGCAACCCAAAGTTGCTCCTCCTGGGTCTGACACCTTGAAAAAGCCCAGACTCTACATGGCATTAAAACAAAGAATTAAACAAAAACCTCCTCAGGAATCATTTGCAATGCTGCTCTTGGTGTTAAAGCCTGAAAAATGTTGGTCTGTATAAACAGCTCACTGAATTTCCCCCTAACCAAGTATGGCCACAGGGAAGGCCCCGCCCTGGCCACCAGACACTGCCCTTGCCAGAGTCCCTGGAGACTCAGCTCTCCAGGCACCTCTGCCCTAGGCCAGAAGAAAGGGAAGCTGGTGGTCTACCAGGGCCCTACCCTGGAGTGAAGGGTTGTAGGGGAGGGCGTGTGCTAGAGCGGGCTGAGAGGCTGTGGGGCTGCCTGGGCCCACAGGCCTGGTGGCGGAGTGGGATGGTGGCACCTGCATGCAGTGGTAGTGGGTGCTCTTTCCATTGAGGTGGCAGCCGTGGTAGTAGACACTGCAGTCGTCCAACGGGCTGAAGCGCATGAAGCCGTGCTGCAGGGAGTTGTCACGTTTCTTGTGCATGTTGTAGTGCCGGATCACATCCTGCTTACTGGTGAACCTCTGCCAGGAGAGAGCGCCCAGTTGGCAGGAGCCCGGGCCCCCAACCCGTGTGCCAAGAGTGCCTGGACCGGGGGCTGGCACGGGGGCCCTCAGGTCACCCTATAAATAACCTCGCTCAGGCTGGGACAGTCTAGATGCCCAACTAGTGCCGGGCATGCTGACCCATGGCTGGGAGAGTTCCAAAGGCTAGGAACCACAGGCCTCTCCCCGGCTCCCAATAGCCATGCTTAGGGCACTGATGACTGGGCAGGCCCTGCTGGTCAGGACTGATGGGCAATGGCACGCTCAGACTCTGCACTCGCTCTGCACTTGCTGAAAGCAGCTACGAACACTTGCTATCTGAACCTCAAGTTTTCACCATGAAAACAGGGAAGTAACCTTGGAAGGCCCTGGAGAGTTGGTCAGCTAATGTCCACAGGCTGCCTGGAACAGACCTTAGTCTATGGCAGACTGCAGGGCTAGGGATCTAGAATGACTATCCCCAGGCATGGACCACTGCAGACATGATCAGCAGCTTTCTCAGCAGAAAACATGGACAGGCTGGAGGCTGGAAGCTGCACTCTGCCTGTGTGGCCTGAGTCCCGATGGCCTGCTCAGGACTCAGCACATCTGCCCCACATCCAGCAAGGACCCCCATGCTGCGCTGGCGGGCGAGCGGGCTGTGTCGCTCACCTGGTAGTTGCACTCCGGGTCCAGGCAGTGGTAGTGTTCACGATACTGGTAGGCGCAGTGGATATGACCGCAGTGCTGACTGCCTGAGAACCTGAAGACACACAGGTGGGTCAGGTCCCTCACTAGGTGACAGCCCTGGGGACAGCTCTTTGCCAGGTTCTAGTTCCCAAACATGTGCTGCTGGGGTTTGGAGGGTCTGGATGGAGAAGTGAGGAGAGAGATAACACATAGAGGCTATCTGCCTGCTAGGTATGCTGGGGCCAGTGGCAGGACTCTAGCATGTGTCTGGGAGCCAGTGCTAGGTGCGGCAAAGGCCTGGCACCCAAGTGAGGAGGAAGCAACTGAGGAGGCCTGCAGCCCTGTGGCAGCCCAGCAGTCTTTCCTGCAGGCGTGGCCTGAGCACTGACCCCGCCCCCCAGCTCTGGCCAGGGAAGGGGCCCGGGCTGGGTCAGCCCAGGGTTCTATTACTGAGAGGTGTTAAAGGGCTCTCTCCGTTCTGGGCTTTTCCTGACACTTGAAACAGTCCAGAGTTATGAATTTTTAAAACACAGCATCTGTTTGGCTTCCCGTGGTGGGGAGCTGGCTCTTTAGTCAAGCACGTAGCCAGGAGCCCCACACTGCCTGACCACTGCAGCTGCCCCAACGGTCCCTTGCAGGCCTCGCACTGCTGGGGGTGGTTCTCCTGCCAGCCTCAGAGTCAGTCGGCCTCACGGAGAGAAAATCCCTGGGAAGGTGCTTCTGGCTCCCTCCACATGGGAGAGGGGATAGAAACCCCACGGTAAGGGGGAAAACCACTTGCAAATAAACATTTAAGCTGAAGCTGCCAAAAGAGCCATCTGCTGAGGCACTAATAATAATGACAGCAATAATAATAAAGAGAAGAGGGGAGAGAGCAAAGCAGAAGAAATGGAGGGACAAGGGAAGTAGCGAGGCAGAGAGGGACTGAAGAAAGGCAGCTGTCCCTGGACGTGGGCTCTGCCATGTGCTGCCCACCATGTCCAGCCTCAAGGGGCCTGATGTCTAGGGTGGTAGACAGGGGTCTTAATGGGCCAATTCTGCTGCCCTTGGGATGGAAATGGGGACCCAGTGTCAGAAGCAGGGAGACCCAAGGACACTATGTCAGGGGCGACTGCCCACACTCTTCTCAGCTCTAACACCTGCCCGAGACTCCTCCCACACCCTGGTCCTGCCTGGGTACAAGCGGGTCTGAGATGGGCTCTCAGGGTATAAGAAAGTGGAGTGGAGGAGGCAGACCCTTGCCTCTAGTGGTGAGAGGTGCATGTTCGTCCCTCCACCTCAGGGAATCCCTGGCTCCCCCCACCTTTCCTGCACATAGCTTCCTCCCCAGGGGCCTACCTGGCAATGTATTTCTGGTAAATGTTTACATCTTCCGTGACAGCTGGTTTATCTGTGGGCAATCCGTTCCTGGTGAGACACACAGGGCACAGCCGATTAGCAGATGAGGTGGCCTCTGTCCAGCAGCTTCTGGTGGGCAGCTCCCTGCCCTGTGCCCTGACCCTTCTCTCCTCAGCTGCGCAGATTTGTAAAGCACTCAGGGTGGGACTGCCCAAGTCCCCAGGCAGAAGCCTGGCATGGGCTCAGTTAGCCCAACTCTGGCGAAGGCTGGAGGGCCAGGCCTAGAATTCACCAGGGAAGAAGCCTCCAAAGCCAGAGCCCATGCCCCAGGATGCAGGGAGGAGTACCAGGCACCCAGGGCATGAACACAGGAGAAGACACCTGGCCTTGCCCTCATGGGAAATGCCTCACTCTCTCATCCACCCCCAGCAGGTACAGCCTGGATCTGCCTTGGTGCTCCAGGCTCCTGCTGCTGCAGCACAGGGTAGGCTCTGGGGAAAGGTCTCGCTCACCTGCCCATGACCCAGGCCAGCACCCCATTCCTGCATTAGGCTGAAAGGGCATGTGCGCCCTAGCACAGCCTCCTCCCTTCCTTCTTCTGCCTCCTCCATGGCATAGGCTCTGAGCCTGGGAGCCAGGGCCCTGGCCTGGACCTGGGCACCCCTCCCAGGATGGGGCTGTCTCGACCAATCACAGCCTACACTTAGTCCTTATGGCAGTGTGGCAAGTTGGGGCAACTGTGGCCCTCACTATGCATGATAGCAAATGAGAGGTACATGCTGATGTCATGGCATGTGACAGCGTGTGGGGTGCGTGGGGAGATGAGTTGTGTATAAGAGTAAGCACATGGGAAGGAACAGAACCTAGTAAATATGTATGGGTATGTGCGTGCGTACATGCATGTGTGCGTGCGTGCGCGTATGTGTGTAGATGTGTGCCTGAGTCTGGCATGAGTGTCCAGGAGTGTGAGGGGATATGCCCACTCCCGCGAACCTCACAGGAAAGGAGCAGGCCTCCCATGAGCACCCAGTCCTGTTCTAGGTTTTGGGGTGGTAACAGAAGTGGGGAGCACCTTACTTGACGGTTGAGACGGTCCCCGTGGTAATGGAGTCTGTTTTGGAGAAGGTGGACTTCAGGTACTCAGGAGTGTTGAAGGATAGGGAGGCAGGTGGCTCCGGCCCAGGTCCGGGGGCGCTGGGAGCACTGGGCACACTGGCGAGGGGTGCAGGAGCCAGGCTGGGGGCAGGTGGAACCTTGGCAGGGCTGGGCTTCTGGATGCCCCGAACATCATACTTGGAGGGGCGCCCCACCTTGCCCGTCTTGAAGGCGATGGCCCCGCCCATGTCAGGGCTGCCCTCCCCTGGTTTGAAGAGGTGCAGGTACTTGACGTTCTCCAGGTCGTACTTGGATGGCTTCTTGTAGGTGCTCCCATTCTGGGGCCGCAGGTTCTCACCCGTCTTCAGTTTTTGGATGAAGAAGTCATACTTGGAGGCACGGGCTACCAGGCTCTGCATCTGGACACTGCTGTGAGACGGCAAGGGCAAGATGGTGGCCTTGGTCTCCAGATGGGTGGTGTTGCTGGGCAACCGCAAGCCGGGCAGGGGACCCACCACCTCCTTGCCCGCCCGCTCCTCCGCCTTGGTGCCGTGGGCTGGCCAGGAGAGCTGCTCCCCAGCCTTGAGCTTGCGGATGTACTCTTCGTACTTCGAGAACCGTGCCCGTTTGCTGAGGGCATCCTCCGAGGCGGGCAGCATGGAGGACGTGGCAGCCTCAGGGGCGGAGCCCGCGTGCAGCTTCTCAAAGCTGATCTTCCTGGCCAGCTCGTCCCTCGTGTTCTGGTCATCATAGCCAAACATGCCAAGGAACTCGGTCATGGTGGAGGCTGCATAGTCTCTGAGTGAAGAGGACTCTCCTACAGGGGAAGAGAGAGGCGGGTCACCTCTGGGAAGGGACAGAGCCCCCCGCCCACAGAGGGAGGGGACCAGTGTGGGGAGGGGCATAGCAGGACATGATCTATGGACATTTGGCTCACTTGTTAGGTTTTACGACTCTTAAATTAATTTGTTTTAAAAAAAAGTAATTAATACTGGGGTAAAATAAAACGAGTTCATCAATGCCAGGAAAATCAATTTCCTAAATGTTCTGGCCGATGGCTTTTCAGTACATTAAACAAAGTTTCATAAATGTCTCCGCTCTCTCGCCTTGGCCTAATATGAAAGAGAAGTCATCTTACTGGAAGTAAGGCCAGAGCCTCCCGGGGTGGGGCAGGGTCACCGGGGCCAGGAACAGGTAGGGATGTGGGTGGTGGCTGGACAATCTCCGGGGCTGAGGAGATACTCTGGGTGAGGTGGTGGTGAGTCTGGCTGAGGAACCTTCTCTGACCCCACAAATGGATCTCTAGGGATTACCCAAGATGCTCCAGCACCTGACCTCCTAGTCTCTGTGACAGAACTGGGCACAGAAAGGACAGTGTAGATGGGCCACCCAGATTTACACAGGGCCCCCTCCAGCCAAGCTTCATATTGTGGACAACTTTAAACTCCCTGGTCATCCTTGGGTGCCTTGGGGTCACCCAGAAGCACAGGGCTGGGCTGGCCGGAAGGCTGATCCTGGTGGATCCATCCCTCCTCCTCATCAGCCACACCCAGGCCCCACAGAGAACCCTGGAGTAACTTCCCTGCTGTGACATCCATATTGCCTCTCACACTCATACTATACATGCACACAATCGCGTATACACTCATGTGCAACATACACATGTGTCCTCGAACACACATGAACGCACACTCATGCTCTCATATACTACTTGGATACAGGTGATCAAATAGTACAGTGATATTTAAGTTTAAAAACATTACAGCAAAAGGCATAATAATGATGGGGTAAGTATATGTGAAGTGAGGGGAGAATTTAGAGGGGGATTAATAGCAATGTGTCTTTCATTGCAATTTTATTTTTTTATCTTTTATTTATTTATTTTTTTTTATTTTTTTGAGACAGGGTTTTACTCTGCAGTTCGAGCTAGCCCTGTGCTCACTTTTGTAGCCCCCAGACTGGTCTCAAACTCACAGGGATCCTCCTGTCTCAACCTCCCGAGGGCTGGGATTAGAGGCATGTGCCACCACACCCAGTTCTTCATTGCAATATTTTTTTATTACAACAATTTTTAAATATGAAACATTCACATTTTCTGATTTCCATGAACACACACACGCTCGCGTGTCCTTGCACAGCCACACGCATGCCCAGAAGCACACACTCCTCACAGACACATGCTCACACAGCTCCACAAAGGCTACATCCAGCTTCCCAAGGTAAGTCTCAAGACGCAGGAGGAAGCCAACTCAGCCCAGCAGGTGGGTGGTCCCCACACTCATGTTTAGGGTATGCTTATTCCTCCACTGAGCCAGGCTACAACCCTCTGTGGCTCTACTCCAAGTCAGGGTTGGGCGCACACAGGCCAGTGAGACCCATGCAACCCAGGTGATACCAGGCTTTCTCCTCTCCATAGAGATCTTCCCTGGTGGTCCCCAAGCTGGGGGTCTTAACAGCACCGCCAAGGCAAGACATGGCTTAAGGGGCCCCTCCCAGTGTCACCCAAGCCTTCCAGATCTGAGTTATCAGAGCACTCCCAGGGGGGTCTGATGGAGTGATAGCAACCCAGCAGGATGCAGGAGGAGGAGCTCTGAGCTCCTGGAGGAGGGAACAGTCCTGGGGGAGATCCGGACCCCACTAGGTGAGGAGAGGTCTGTGTTGAGTGACTCAAAGAATGGACAGAGAGCTATTGTCCTGGCAGGGTGGGCGGGCCAACCACTGTCCTGAGCTACAGCCACACAGGTTGGGGGCCCAGCACGGGAGGAGTGGGCTCTGGCTGCTGGCTGCAGTGGCTCAGGGACCAGGGAAAGGGGCTAAAAATAGCTAGAAGCAGCTGAGCCCTCACTATATATGGCAGAGAAACAGAAGGCTCTGAAGGGCAGGCAGCTTCGAGCAGGGAGGGGGCCAGACAGGGGTCCCTGAGACGTCCCAGAGCCCTGCGTTCCTGAGCCCCAAGGCTGAGGCAAGGTGGCCTGGCAGTGCGGCTGGGTGGTTGGCTCAAGCACTCAGGGCTGAGGGGTGAGGCCTAGGGCCACAAGGCCTCGGACAGCCCAAGCCCTGAGCCAGGCATCCCTGGCTCCTGCTCCCAGGAGGGAAGGAGGCAGGAGGGGAGGCCACAGGCAGAGCTGGATGTGCATGGGGTGTTGGAGGGACAGTGGTCCTTGTCACTGTCACCCTGTTCTCCTCAGGCCCAGCGCAATCACCTTGTGTCTGGCAACGGCAAGGGCTTTTCCTATCAGAGGAAACTGAAGGTCACACTTTTCCTCATTGATCTTGCAATGTTTGTTAATTACTCTGTCACTGATGTGGCGAAGGATAATTAAACAGCTCTGTTTATATCTTATATGCATAATTATGTGGCTGCGCAGGGCTCCCCGCACAGGGAGGAGATGCGCCCCTTGCCGCAGGGGGAAGGGGATAGGGGAGCAGGCAGGGAGGCACAGGGCTCCAGGCACAAGCCTGGAAAGGAGGCTGGGGGCTAACGCAAAGATTCCAGACCCCTGCTTCCAGTCCTAGTGGAGGGACCCCTGCTGTCTGTCGTGTTCTTAGAGCAGTAAGCTTCAGGCTGCTCCAAGTCCTACGGACAAGGAGACACTAGAGAAGCTAGGCCCTGGCCATCTCTTGGGGAAATCAACTGAAAAGGACCATGTCCAGTGGTTAAAAGGGCTCTGTTGTCAGGGCCAAGCAAACCTTGTGGCCCCGAAAGGTCCTGCCTGGGAGAACCTGGAGACAGAGGCCTGGGGAAGAACGCAGGGGGAAGACTTGAAACGAAGCTCCAGAGAGGCCCCTCAGAGAGATGATGGAGAGAGACAGAGCGCTCCTGAGGTTCACCTTGCCACCAGCCCCCACTGCTCCTACACTTGTGGCCAGGTACGATGACCCCCAATGACGGGCTCATCCGCCTACGCGCCACCTATCCAGTCTAACCTGTAACCCATTCCTCCATTCGCTGTTTCCCACTCACTCACTCTGGGAAGCTGCTCACACACTCGGGAAGCTGCTTCTTTGTCCCTCTGAGGCCTGCTCCCAGGGAACCCTTAGGGGCTGGGGCTCAGGAGAGAGGAAGTGGGTGTGTCCCCAGGACACGCTGCTCCCCACCTGGCCTCCCAGGGTCCTGCACCCTTTCCCAGCTGTCCGCCTCCACTCTAAGGCCACACACCTACCTGAAGCCTGCTTGGCGCTGGGGCCACCATCATCCTTTGAGACTGCCCCATCTGAGTCCTTCTCCTCCGGGACGCCACTGTCTTTGGAGGGCTCTTCCGTGTGGTCTTCCTCATCGCTGCAGGCCTGGGGCTGGACCATGTAGACGCCCTCGGGTGGTAGCTCCAGGCCCTCTCGGGGGATTCGCCCCAACAAGGGCGTGGGTGCTGGCTCCTCACTGTACTCCCCGTTGACCCACTTCTCGATCACTGCCCGCCTCTTGTCCTCTTCGCTGCGGGGTGTCCGGGCTATCCCAGGCTCAGGGCCACTGCGCTCCTTGTCGCGGGGCCGCGGTGGGCTGCCCTCGGCCTGGGAGCCTGCCTCTGCTCCCTTCTCCACCACCACCTGGCGGCTCAGCTTGGCACAGATGGCATTGAGCTTCAGGCCACCTTTGCGCTTGGCCGCCATTGCGGTCTTTCCTGCAGGCGGGTCGGTGCACCGGGTGCCTTCAGCTGCAGAGATGGAAGGGGAACGTGGTGAGAAGCCACACACGGCCACCCCCTGAACTGACCCCCATCCCCTAAGCCAAAGGCCTCCCGGATTGATCACAGTTTATCAGACTGCCCTGGCACTGCCTGGTATGTACTTATCTACCCTTTGAGCCTGGGAGTCCAGGGCCAGCCTTATAGGTCACTCTGTCCTCAGCCTGACATAGTGAGTGACTCAAATGAATGAATGACTTCAGATACAAGTTTACTTCCCAGCAGTTGGTTCCTGGAAGCACTTCCTAGGCATCTGGCCTTAAATTACGTCTCAGAAAAGAGGTTTGTCCTGTGACATACAGGAAACTAAGGCAGTCAGGCAAAGGGCTGGTGATAGAGCAAGGCTGGCAGTGGCAGCCCCGCTCCACATGGGAGCACCCCACCTCACCACAGGTCCCTGGGGAGGATCAGCAGCCAGCCAGCTTCCAGCCTGTGCCTTTAGCCTTGCTGTCCCAGCGGCACTCATCTGGCACCTTCCCATCTCAGCATCTTGTCCCCTGGCAGCCCCTCTGCCAGCCTAGGTGCCTGGGTCCCTCAGCCTCTGACTCCAGCCTGCTGGGTAGCAGAGCTATTTCCTTGGCTTCCAGCCACTTAGGGGTTCTAGAAAGTCTCCACTTACCTCAGTGTCCCACCCCATCAGGGTCTGCCCAGCCCTTTGCAGCCTCCCCAGGCCTTCTGGTCATTTCCTATTGCTGTTCCCTTTCCTGAGCCTCACTAAGAGACCATCCAAACACAGAGCTCCTGTAGCACTGTCCCAGGACCTCCCTCCCAGCCTAGGAGAGCCCTACCGGGACAGGCTGGAACTGCTTAGCTCATTAGTGGCAGGCCTAAAAGCTTGCCTGATCCCTGACCTGACAGCCAGAAATCTAACAAGCCCACTGTAGTGGTAGCCATCCCTTCACGGCTGCGCAGGCTGTGCTCTGCCCGGTCAGGGCACTGAGGGTCTCGGGACCAACGAGGGTGGGGACACACACACACACAGTGACCCCACACATTCATCCATCTGCCTGTCCGACTACTCATCAGTGAGCCCCTACTGTGTGCCAGACCCTGTGGTGCAGCTGGGGACAGGGCAGTGCCCATGGCAGAGGGTGTCCGCTCACACTTTTGTACACATGGCCCCAGTAGAGTATATTTTTCCATGACTCCCACCGGACAAATGGGTGCACCCCACAAAATCAGAAGGTTACATAGGGGACTCTGCTCCGCTGCTTATGGTAAGAGGGCTTTGCTATGATAGATCAGAAACCAGAAAACTCATGCTTCTGAGAGCCCATTGAGAGGCCACCCTGTGTCTGTCCAGGGCCCTCAGCCAGGTGTAACTGTATACCCAGACAAGTGTCCTTTGACATACACAATGCCCAGTGGCCTCAGAGCCCTGCCTCCTCACCAGCTGCTGGTCTGCATGGCTTTGCTTGGCTCAGAGCAGACTGCATGACAACACAGCCCGCTTCCAGAGAAGGGTCTGTTCAGCCTGGCCCTGGGCCTAGCCAGACCTGTGCCCCTGCTTTAAGGGCCTTGTACCCTTGCCCAAGCTGGGATGCCTACTCTACTGATGTTTGTCCCCAGTGGCCAGTCTGCTGCCCACACCCAGATCCCTAAGCATGGGCACAGGTCTGCTTCTTGCAGTGGCAATAAGCCCCTAATCACCGCATACCCACTCAACAACTGCTGGGTGGCTGGTAGGCTCTGACACCATTTTTCCTCCAATAGGCCTCCGGGAGAGCAGTCCTCACCTGGTCCCCTCTGTCCCTTTCACTGGGCAGAGAAGGACAGGGAGGAGTGGGGGAGCGTACACTATTTTTACCAGGAGGTAAGCAGCCAAGTGTGTATGGCAGACGGTAAATGAATCTATAAATATTTATCCCAAGGAAGAGGGACTCAGAAGCTCCCAAGGCTGCTCTTGCTGCTGGTGACACCCCCGGCCCCACCCGTCCTGGAGCCTCCCCGTCCTCAGCCCACAGGTCCAGCCTCTCCTCTCCTGTTTTCGGCTCTGTGCCCACTCAGCCCCGCCTGGGGCCCCCACCAGCTGTAATGCAGCTGTGTACACTGGGCCCACCCCCAGCCCCTGGGCTCCTTTGCTTCTGCCGACTCCCCCTACACCTGCCCTCCAGCTGCTGCTCTCCCCCAGGCCACCTGCCCTCCAGATGTTGCCCTCCCTCTGACTCTACTGCTGGTCCCCAGGGTGGAGGTGGAGGTGGAGGAGCTGTCTGGGCCTGGGGCACAGGGCTGGAGTAGGGGCAGGGGCAGAGGCAGGGCTTATGGTTGTGAGTGGCAGCGCGTGCAACGCTGGGGCAGCAGGAAGGGGGCAGTGTGAGCTGAAGGCTGCCTGCCTGCCTGCCGCCTTCCGGCCCACCCCGTGGGGCCTCGCTGCTGGCCCCTGCATCGAAGGCCCTGGGACCTACAGACTACCCCACCCCGTGGTCTGACCCCAGACTCCTGTCCATGTAAACATTCCTTTGACTTTCTTCCCTAAAATATAAACGCCGTGGCCAGGCCTCAATGGAAGGAAGCCATCCGTCCCCGGCCCTGTCACTGCCCCTTTCATCTCCTTCCCGCCACCAGCCTGCCCGCTGCTCTATTTACACTAGACACTTCCTCTGGGAACAATGCTGCCCAGGAGGCAGGCTTGGGTGGGGATGGGAAGGAGAGGGGACTCCTGTTCTGCTCACCCAGGATGGGCAGGCCGGGGTGGGGTGGGCAGCCCTACTGGGCTGGGCATGGAGCCCACTCTGCTCCTGGCAGCATCCAGCCTCCTGCTCTAGTGGTTCTGGACTGGTCAGAGCGAAGCGGGAGGAGGCAGACAGGTGCGGCCTGGCCCTTGGGTCAGAGCTGTGAGCGCGAGACCAGGCTCTCAACTGTGGGCTCTGCACTGTGCAGGATTCTCCACAAAGAAGAGCTGCAAGTAAGGGAGCCCATTGGTGCCAAGTGCAGGGCCTGGCCAGCAAAGGGCTGGGGAAGGACAGGCAAGCTCTGAGAGGGTACAAGAGGCAAATGTGGTACCACAGCTGGCTCGAGATCCCAGGGCCAGCAACCTGCACTGGTCTAGAAGAGATGACGGGGAAAGAAGCAGCAGGAAGCCTGAGGTTGATCTCAGCCTTCCTCTCATCCCAGCGAACAGTGCCTCCTCAGCCACCCATGTTCTAGAGCTTCCCCTATGGGGCTCAAAACTCAACAAGCCCCTAGCAGGCAGCCCCTGTCCCTGAGCTGAGCAGACCCCACTGGGGCAGGGGAAAGACAGGCACAAAGTAACTGCTTTATAGCACTCTATCACCGCTTTCTGGTACTGATGTAGTGAGCAGGTACTATCACGGCCCAGTAGACAAAGGAGGAAGTTGATCCTGAAGCCACAGATGCCCCAGAGCTTGGGTTACCAGCCTGGGAGCTCCAGGAAGTGGGGCTCAGGGCTGTCTTCTCTCAGGCTCCTGGGAAAGCTCTGGGAGGTCCAGACCTCCACACTGGGGCTCCTTTCCTCCTCTTCCCCATCTGCCCCTCGCCCTTACTTCCTGTTCCCATAACACAGAGCCTCCTAAAGTGTTAACTGTGATGGGTAAAATGGTGCAGCAGATTGCTACAATAAATAATTTACTGATATTTATAAATATTCAAATCAGCCAGCTTCAGAAATCGAATGAAGGGAGGGCCTCAGGAGAAGGGCCCATTATGGCATGGAGCTCAGCACTCCCTCCAAAGGCTGGGGAAGGCCAGGGCTCCTGCCAGCTCTGGGTGAGGAAGGGGGGCTCCTGTAGCTGCACCTGGGCCCCTTGTCCCCTGATCTCTCTGGCTCAGAGGGTAGAGGCAGAGCAGCTGAAGAGCTGCTCCTTCCTTACCTGGTTGGGCCAGGCCCAGGCTCTCTCCCACATTCTAGGGGAGGAGAGGCTTGGTTCCCACTGCCTGGGGCCTGGGTCTTGGAGTAGCTTGTCCTGCCAGGGCGGGGGCAGTCTCAGGGGGCTGGGCAGACCTGGCAGCCCCTCCCCACCCGTGAATAATGTGTTTTGGGGCCGGGCTGCCTGTCAGATACCAGGCTCCGAGTGCTTTATGGGCTCTGCTCGGTGGCTCTGAACTCCCTGGTAGGAAATAAAGTTCTCCCTGTGCGTCCTTTCTAAACATTTCACTCAGTGGAAACGGTGTTTAAGAAAAATGAGGACATATTTCTTCCTAAGGATGCAGTATCCCCTTTGGGCGGCCTAATGCCCGCTGTATATCAGGAGGTGGGAAGGCAGGGGCCAGCAGCCAGTCCCTTGGGGGTGTGGCCTTGACAGCCTGCGGCCTGGCAGCTTGGGGGTGCACGGGCACTGCCCGGCCACTGTGGTATTGCCCTAGCCTGTGGCCTCCTGAGCACTCTCTGCCGGGAGCATGCCAGGCACTTACAGCCCCCTTGGTGATGCCTAGGATCCCTGTCCCCGTTTCCAGAGGAGGTGGCAACAGTGACAAGACTGATAACTGCCCACAGTCACCAAGTCAGGGCTGGAGCCTGATGGGCCCTGAGCACGGACATCCAAGGTCAGTCTTAAACCCCACACATGCTGGGGAGATGGCTCAGTGGAATAAGCGCTTCCCTGGCAAGCACAAGGTTCTGAGTTCAATCCCTGGTTCCACCAAAAAAAAAAAAAAAAAAAAGAGTTTAAACCCCACACACGTCTCCTATAGCTTTCCAACCAGCTGTCCTGGGGCCTCAGAACCAACATGTTGTTGAATTCCCACCTTGCTCCTTTAGAACTTCGTGGAGGAAAGCTCCAGGTTGGAGGCACTGTGCCTACGGCCATGCAATGACCCTGAGAAACTTCTGTAGGCCAGGCCCTGAGCCAAAATATATATATAT